TGCCAATTTTCCTTTCTTATACTAGAGCGAATTTTATAACGAACATTGAAGTTGATGGGTGGGAAAAAAGTTGGTTGTGGGGTTCCATGAGAGAGAGAGATTGGAAAATATACAATTAAACCAATCCTTATTGTGCTGGCCTCATTCTTGATAAATTCACAGCAATATCCAGTATGATTCTCATGTTTTGTCCTTTTACGCAGGCGTTTCAGAGGGACTCTCCTCTTGCAGTCGACTTGTCAACTGCTATCCTTCAACTCTCGGAGAATGGTGATCTCCAAAGAATTCACGATAAATGGTTGTCTCGCAAGGCGTGCTCTGCACAGGTAAATCAAGTGGATGATAACCGGCTCTCTCTCAAGAGCTTCTGGGGTCTCTTCCTTATCTGCGGCATTGCTTGCTTTGTTTCTCTTGTCTACTTCTTCTATAGAGTGTGCATGCAGTACCGTAGATACAGCCCAGATGGCGAGGTACAGGACGTTGAGGAGCCTGAATCTGCAAGGTCAAGTAGACGTACCAATCGAAATCCTAGCTTCAAGGACCTAATTGTTTTTGTTGATAAGAAAGAAGCTGAGATAAAGGAGATACTTAGGCGTAAGAGCAATGATACGAAAAGACAAGCTGGCCAGAGCTCAGATGGGCAGTCTAGCTCACCTCCCTGAGGAAAATTTGCTTTTCGGCTGGTGTTTTCTTCCAATGCCCCTTCCCTTGTCAAAGCCTTCTCAATCTATGTTCATGAGGTAATGAATCCATTCCATGACTATGATAAAGAGTAAGCTAGGGAAGGTATACTGAAACCATACCATGACTATGATACAGAGAAGCTTGGTTAGGAGATCATTAGTTTGCGTAATGAAGTGATGTCTGTGTTTTCAGGATGTAAGAAGTTAACTCCAAAATTTTGGGTGAATTACAAAATCTATCACAGAAGAAAAGGATTCCTTGTGCTTGTTGGCTTCTCTTTCTGACATTTTTCATGTGTCACTACATTAATAAGAGTAGGGGTGTCAATTGAGTCATCTTACGAGAGTAATAATATGTGTAGGGAAAATTCCATTTTGCACCCTGAAAGATACCACGATTCCCAATTTGAACCCCAAAAGTTTGATTTTCCCTTGTTGCACCCTGATTCATGCAAATTTGTTGCAATGTGGTACATCAACAAATGACCACTTAAAATTCTGTCTATTGTCGTCAGTGCACGTGAACAGCACACGGGACATGGAGGGGTATTGGTGTAAAAATAACAAAGAAAGAGATCTGGTTATGGACATGGAGGGCAACTGAACAAAACATGGAGGGTGACTGAACAGATCAAACGACACTTGTTAGGGCAAAGAAATTCAAGATAGAAATTTTATAAAGAAATTCACGTTTTTTAGCACCAAAATTTGTTGTTTTTATATTAATGCCCCTCCATATCCCGTGTGCTGCTCATGTGCGCTGAAAACATACGATATTTTCAAGTGGTAGTTTAGTTGATGGACCACATTGCAACAAATTTGTATAATTCAAGGTGCAAAGTGAGATTTACCAAAATTAAAATTGATTTATTTGGACTTCGGCGAATAATATCGAAATGGCTGTTAGTTCCTATGTGCAAATCTTGTCTTGAACTTGAGGATTCCCGAGAGTCGGAGATTGTGAGCATCTGTATTGAATTTTACATCTATAAAAATTAAAGTTTTTTGAGATAAGTTTTTTACGGCGACGAGGAGTGACTCAAATCATTTTGAGGTTTAAAGCGAAAATATTGAATGGAGGTTTTTTCTTATTTTTAATATTATTTAAAAATAAATTAATTTATTTTTAATTTTTTATGTGAGAGGGAAACAAAATAAGGATGTATTAATATTGTCGAAAAAGAAATTTTAACTTTTATTTTTATTTTTACCATAGAGAGGGAGAGATAGTGTTTAATTTCAATTTCAATTTTTGTTTTTATTTTTTATTTTTTTTACCCCAGAGAGAGAGAGAGAGTGAGTGGAAGTAAATATGAGTTGACTTTTGAATATTTTTTTAATTTCTAAGTTTTTAATGTTATGGATTGAATTATAGGCTTAAATTATTACAATAAAAATTTTGACTGGATTTAATTTTTGGGGGCTTTTTTGTATGACTTAAAATTTAATAGATTTAATTTTTTTTGTGTACTAATGATACACCTAAAATTATGGGCCCTTCTAAAAACTTGGGGCTTAAAACCCATACTTTTATTTCATACTGTTGGCCGGCCCTCTCGGTGACAATGTTCCCCGTAAAAAAAGTGTTTTAGAGAATTTTTTTTTTTGGTAGCATAGGGCGTTTATAAAATATTTATTTATTATTATAAATATTATTTAAGACGGGTTATTACCGACAGCTACAAAGGTTTTTTAAGATTTTACTTATTACGGGAAGAATTTTTTTTATGGCGAGTCATTTGGTATATATATAGAGCCAACCTTTCAGGATTTATTTTGTAATTAATTTATATGCTTTTCAATATCCAAACCAAAATCTTCCATCATTCAACTAACATTATACTTCAATGATTTTAATACTATAGGTCCTATCCTATAACAAATTTTCAATGGGGTGGACCCCAACAGATAAATAATTGACGGAAAATTAAAATATACGGAAAATTATACTTAATGCCCTCTTTGTTTAATGAAATTACACCATGTCCACTTGAAAAAGGAAAAACGAACAAAAGTCCGGTGCAACTTTCGATTCAATAGATCTAAGCAAACACTCTTTTGGGGACAGAAAAATAAACTGACACAGATAAGATAAATCTACCCATAAAATAAGAGGTATTTTGTATACACGCTTGTGAAACTATACTTCATTGAAGATAGTGGTCTTCATGGGTCGGGTAGGTCATGGGTAGTATAGGCTCAAATCTTTACCTAAGTGAGTTATTGGGCGGGCCGGACTTTGGATGGAAGTAGGTTACCTGTGAGCCTATTGAGCGGACATGCTCGCGGGCTTTTTTATATACAATTTTATTTAAAAATAATGAATATTTTTGTAACTTAATATTTTTGAATAAAAAATAGAGTCAAAATAGAAAAAAAATAAAATAATGAATAATTTTATTTTTAATTAGAGGATTAACTACATCCAATAGAATGAATATATCCCAACTAAGTTAACATCTACTCACTTATCTATCATTTGCATTACTCTACCCTTTAAAACTTGTATACTTAATATATGAAAAATAAAATAATACATTATTTACAGTATCTAAATTTTTAAAACTTCAAATTCTGAAATTCAAAATTTTAAATTTACTGGTTTAAAAGTATAACTTTTTTTCAAATAAAGGGAGGGTGGACGGGCGGGCGGGCGGGCTTCAGACCAGGTAATAGGTTTAGGGATAAACTCAAACTCTATTTTTAAGGATATTAGGCTCGTACGGGTCAATTATCGAGCCTATTGAGTTTCAAATTTACTTTTTCGGGCCGAATAACAGAACTTGTAGATAACTCAACCCATAAACACTCCTAATTGACAAGTTCAAAACTTTCAGCTACGTTTTTTAAAACTATCCATCATCTTGTTTGATCTTCGACTTAAATCCGATTCAGTTGTGCCTCTACCTACTAAAACCGCTAATCACACCCTACCCCTACCCCACACACACACACATAATGCAAATCCAATCCCTCCCATGCCCTGAGGTGAGGTGGAGGTGGAGGATCATGTTGACTTGCTAGTACCTAACAATTCTGGTTGTTAGTCTTTCTCCATCCCACCACTGCAAGAAAGATAATCTCACTAAAACAATAAATATAAATCGTACTATTCCGGCAAGGCGTGGAATTTGTTGATATTTTTCATCATTTTTTGCCAAAAAAAAAAAAAATCCAATCTGAATCATTTAAGTTTTGAGATTTTATAAGAAGAACGAGGTATAGATAGTCTAATATTCCTGAAACTGCTGATTAGATGCTATACCTTATGTAATCATTTGGCAGAGTATCAAACTTTCAGTATTTATTTTGCAATAAAATTTGCCAAATTCTCAATATCTAAACCAAGATCCTCAATTATTCAACTATCAACAAATAAACAATGAAGTGAGAATTTAAATAGACGGAAAGTTATACTTACCTCCCTGATGGTTTACCCAAATTACAGTATGTGTGCTTTGACAAATGGTATCACCATAAAAAGCATTAAAGATGGAAGGGAATAAAATCCTTTTATAAATCGTGCAATTTGATCAAAAAAAATAAATTAATCCATTAACAAGCTGATAAAAAGAAATAAAATTGATTCAATTTGATCTAAAAAAAAAATTGCTCAAGTCCCATTAAATAGTCAGTCTTGAATGAAGATTAGGCAATAGACAATTTTTTATACGATCCATCAATCCGATACAAAAATTATTGATCCTACTTATAATTTGTATATAATGTGAGTTCAACTATACACGATTTTTTAAAATGCTGATATGCATTATTTCAAAATTGACATAACTAAAATTGACCATAAAATCCACATAATATGACCCATTTTCAGTCTTATGGAAGATCCTCGTTTTCTTGATTTTGACCAACGTAGACATATTGAGTTTGAATTTTTACAATCTTTTAGAGCCAGATCACGAGAGATTTATATCTCATGAATTCTTTAGCATCGACGTAAATGACTAATTTTTGATTAAATTAATCGAGATATGCATAAGTTATCCAAACATCTTTGATTGTCTAACAAAAAAAAAAAAACAATGCAAGTCGTTACAGTAGAGTAGAACACCAATGAAGAATACATACCCACATAAGTTTTCCTACCCCCCCAAAATACTCACCAAACGAAAACTATGTCAAATCAAAGAAGCCATCACTTTTGATTATTTTGGGTTTTGCCCCACAAAATGGGTCAACTGTCCCCATAACCCGGTCCCCTTTCCTAGCAAATAGTCAGCTAGAGAAAATGCATTCTAAAAATAACCAATCGAAAGAGAAATATGAGAGAGCAGAAGAGGCCACCTTCTACTTCCATGGCCTGGGGACAGTTCTCTTGAGGCCATCCACAACATGACTCAGCTTTGCCGAAGAATGCTTCGCTTCAACATCAAAAGGAGAATTCTCTGGCGGGTCTCGACTCTCCGGCGAAGCCTTTTCTCTTTCTGGAACAAAGTTCTTGCGTGTTTGATGGGTAAGTCAATCCAGTATAGACAACTACCACACACTGCTGCTGTATATAGCACTCCTCCTTCAGGTGCTGTAGAGGGCGCTTTTCCGGCCACCGACACGGCGTCCCGGTGCTGTGGACTCGATGAGGAGTCTTCCGATTTGGTGGTTCTGAAGATTAGTCTCTTGGGTGATTGCCATACTGGAAAAACTAGCTTTCTGGTTAGTAACATTTGAGCTTTGATGTCCCTCCATTCTTTTTCCAGGGAACCAAACAAAAAACTTATATTTAATTGTCGTTTAACCACTAAACTATTGCTTTCCTCTCACTTTGCCTCTTGAACTATTGAGTTTCCCATAGATCCCCCTCAATTATTGAAATGATTTCATATTGCCCAAAACACAAAAGGCTGCTATCATTTGCACGAGGTGTTGGATTAAAATGAAATAGAATCACATTGTTTGTTGGTAAAATAAAAAATTTCTGTCAGATTTTTAACGGACGTTAACCCTTTGGAGTAATGGTAATATGACAATACTAAAATTTCAGACTTGTCGGTTTTGGTGGAAAATTACTACTTTATTAATTCTAGATTTTATTTTGTGGTTCATTGAAGACTAAGTATGTGGGGAGAGATGAAGAACAAGAAGGTTCTGAGAGGACAGGTATAAATCAGATTGACAAAACACTCTCTGTAGGAGGGGCACGAATTGCTTATACTATATGGGAAGTGGGAGGTAATGCATAATTGCATATTCTCTCTCTATATATTTTGGATTTTTTTTTTTCTTTCCTTAACCCAAAAAAATGAGATGCTTTGAATGATACACAAAACTATGATCTGAAAATTTCAATGTGTAGGTGATGAAAATTCTCACAATCAGATTCCAATTGCTTGTAAAGACTCGGTAGCAATGTTATTCATGTTTGATCTGACGAGTCGGTGTACTTTAAATAGGTACGGTCTTTTCTATCTTTACTTTTTTTTGGGAAGGGGGAGAAAGGTGGGGGGGGGGGGGGGGGGTGGGAGGAGATGGAGAGAATGGGATGAAGTTGGAACCGCAACCATCTGGGCTTACC